TGGTGCACAGGTGCGATTAGGATGTAAAGCCGTGGCTGCGGTCAGTGAAAGCAGCGAATCTTCATTTCACCTTGACCTCGTGGAGCGTGCACGCCCGCCAGTGAACACGAGCACACACATGACGTCTAGGAAGCGTGAAATGCTCCAAACGAATTTGAAACCCACTGGCATGGCGGGTGCAGAACGCGTGGTTTTCCGCCGCAGCTTGTAGTGAAAATGCATGTGTTTCTGATGTGTTTTGGTGATGTGTTTTTTCAGATATTATCGTACACACTGTGGGGTGGCACTGCATGATCAGCGATCCAACTGCCAGTCATACACCACGGCCTGCCAGTCATACACTGCTGGTCTTGGGCGCGTGATTTGCGCCAGGGGTGGTGACATTTTTCAGTCTGAAGGAATGTGTTGCCTTGACGTATTTGGGTTGTATGTGTGAGTGATTGAATGCCGCGACACAGTCGCTCAGAGCCAGCGTGAGCCTCTCATGGTCAGGTGCCATCTCGCCGTCTTTTACGACCCAAGCAATCGAGCGGCATTTCGCATAAGTGAGCCGGCGCAGTCTCAGTCTTGGCCAAATCGAAGTGCGCCTGACCACCCTGGTGATCAGGCGCACGGCGCCCGGCAAGCTCATGAAATACTTGACCAGTGATGAGCGTTAATGCATTATTATATCATGAAGTAGTGAGTAGTGATGGTTGGCTGGTAATCAGATCTTCGCAAATGCAAGCGCTGGTAAACGCATCATATGATCTTGTATTTTCCACTATGATGCCAACTTGCCAAGCCTTGTATTTGTTTATATACGTGTCAGTTGATATTGTTGTGGTTACATGCATGAAGAAGATCCTACCTATAACATTTTGATATGGCGAGAATTTAAGTCGACCCCTGGGCGCTGCACTTCGACACGTCCACTCACGCGCTCTGCCTCACCGGCCGGCGCGCGCTCTCGTCGATAGCCACCGTCGCGTGTAATCGCCATCACTGTTGTCATTTTGCCGACCAGCTGCCAGACCCACAAAGCCCACGCCGCCACACGGCGTCCGTCTGCCGCCACGCTCCCAGCCCGCCGCAGCCGGTTTGGTCGTCTGAGGTAGTCCGGGCCGCCGCGCCGGTCCGGCCGCTCTCTCCAGCGGCTGCTGCCAGCTGGCGGGTTTGTCGCGTCCCAGGCCGCTGCTCCCAGAGCGCTGGGGCAGCTAGTCCCAGGGCGGCGTCGGGGCCCTGCGGCGCGCGGCCGCGACCGGCCGTGGCGTCGGACGGCGGCCGGTCCGTCCCGCCGGCGCCGTGGTCCAGGTGAACCCCTGTGAGTGCGTCACCCGGCGGTATTGGGTTGCCAGTTGTCGGGCTGAAAGGGAGCGAGTTGCGGCCGTGAATCCTGTCGGCGAGTTTGTTCGGGAAAGTGCAGTAGAGGTTGTTCCCCGACTGCAGGAAAGTCGCCATCCCGTGAATCAGCCCGTCCGTTACCGGAAAGCACGCGTGGTTTGTCCCGTCTACGTTTGTGGTAGGCAGTGCATGGATGTAACCCCGTGCTAACCCCGGGTATTCTGCAAGCTGCATGATATCGCACGTTACCCTGCGTGACATTCGCAGTCTCGGTTCGTCCCATGTGTGCCTCTGCCCGGTATGTTCGCGCCGGTGCGACAACAAGAAGCCGGACATAGCACAAGGAGGCGGAAGTCCATATGGAAAGCGACGGCGCCATTGTCGTTCTTTCTCAGCCCCCAGCCGGGACAGCTAGCGCAGGGGCCGTTCCCGCAGCGAACTGGCTCCCTAAAATCGTGACGTGCGCGATCTGGCAACCCCGTCATGGAGCGCCGGCGGCCGCTCGGGCATGCCGGTCCTGCTCCCGGGTATTCACTGTCATCTGCACCGATGGATAGCATCGGCTAGAAGTTTGTAGGTGTCAAGGTCATTGCTGCACGGGATGGGCGGCTCGGGCTGTTCGCTCAGCGCTGTTCTGATACTGAGTGGCGTCTCCTGATTGGCCGTCCGACGTGTCGAACTGGTGGGGAGAACGCAGGGCAAGATGCGCCTCTCCTGTCCACGAGTTTCTTGGGAACGTTGACGACATCCACTGTCGGAGCCGGGCTCCAATGGGAGCAATTCTAAATGTATCTTTGCACTTTTGTTTATTGCAAGCGCGAAGAGTGTTTGTCACCCCATCCCTCCGCAAGCATGAATGCTGCATCGATCTTGAAAATACCTAAACGGCCTTCAACGAACCCCTTGAAACAGGAGCGAAACATGCACCAAATGCGAAGGTATTTACGAAAGTCCAGGGGTAATCACCTTACCTCCTGAACAAAACGCGTCGTCATTGCGCGAGGCATGGTTGCTTTCTGTACTTGAAACCGCAAACTGGGTGTGTGCGCCGTGCCGGGCCGGCCCGGGCCGTGGCGGGCGGCCGCTCCGGCCACAGCCCCGGACTTCAGAGCCGCCGCGGGCAGGACGCGGACGCAGAGCCCCAGCGATGCACAGCCGGCCGATTCCAGCGACGACCGGCCGGTGCTCGCTGTCACTGGATGACGTGTCGTGTGTGCGCAGCTGGTCCTTCCGGCGAGCGCGGAGCGTGCGTCACGGGGGCCCCGCGGACCGGTCACGGCCGCTGACGAACCTCGTCAGGGAGCATCGCGCGCCGGTCACGGCCGCTGGCGGAACTCCTCAGAGCCTCGTGTGGGTCACGACCGCTAGCGGAGCTCGATAATTGCTGGCGAATATTTAAAGTGTGTTTGTCGATCCTACATAACTTTTACGCGCTGTTTTCGGCAATTGCCGTACGTCGGAAATGGCCGGCAATTCTTTGGCAGAGGAAGCAGACTTGCAAAATTGGCCGAAGCCACTCTGAGCGGATGAGTCAAACAGCGTAGAACGTGGGCGAAATTAGTTGTGCTCACTGATAACTGGCGTCTCAGTGCCTCTTGTGCGGAACAGTCGCTGCGCGTGTCCGCTATGCGACATGGAAAGCATCCCATGCTACTCGTGCGTTTGAATAGATTGACATAATGAAAGATATAATGACGTTGTACGTTGTGTTGGAAACGCAATGCGGCGTGGTGCCCCGCGGCGTCCCCAAGTCCCAACACAGCGCAGCCAACCATAGCGCGCGCGGCAGGCATCGGTTTGGCGGACATGTGGAGCCTATGACCGACTGGCCCCAAGTGGTCCGTGCGAATCATTCCTGGCCCGCATTTACAAGTTGACTCGCTATGATCTGCCTGAGTGGTCTGGTGCGTCGTCGTGTCGTAGGCTGGCCATTAGCCTTTTCACAGACCTGTTGAGGCATTAAGCAGCTTAGAAAGACCAGACGCCAGCCGCCGGAATTCTGTGCTGAAAACGGTTCCAGCTTTCACTGATGTCGCCATGTCGCGGGTCCTGGCTTTCACGAGTGTCGCCATGTCGCGGGTCCTGGCTTTCACTAGTGTCGCCATGTCGCGGGTCTGGGCTTTCACTAGTGTCGCCATATCGCGGGTCTTTAACATCGAAAATGGCTTCGTCAGAGTGGCTTTTATTGATCACTTGCTAGTGATTAAAAGTTGTATTTGCCTGGTTGGAGCAGTGCAGACTGTACAAAAAAAACGAAAAAAAAAACACAAAACACGGACGCACCGCGTACCCCTAGATGGTGAGAGGTTAAAACCAGGTTTGTGCACTCATAGCTTTGCGAACTGAGAGGAAGAATATAAGGCCTAAGTTCGCATTTTTCTGAATAACCGATTGTCATTATATAAACAGTTAAAGTCTAGCTGACGCCATTGTAAATGCATTTCCTCACATTAAGTGGCCATAGAGCGATCATTAAGTTTCTTTCCATGCTTCGCTCCGTTTTTGTTTTTTCCAGTCCCTCGGTCCTGTGTTTGCTTATTACTGAAGTGCTGGTCTGTGGTACTCTGAGGTGAATACGTAACCTGCTGCGGTATGTACCCAGTCAGTGCAAGGTGATGCGCAGATGCGAATCGCGGCGATGAAACGTCGGAAAGGAGCGCCCGGTAGGCAACGACTGGTTGTGAGGTTATGTAACTTCCTGCTGTGTTACCCTGGCCAGCTGCGCTCCCTTCCTTCATTTCCAAGTGATACGGTCGGTCTTAAACCCTCGATGTGTGGTGACGTCACTATCTGGGGCGTGTCGAAGGACTAAATCCCCGGGTCAGGTGGCAAAACCACCTTGCAGGAGCCTCTGTCGGCTTGCTCCTCGAGCACCGCCCGCGCCGGGCTTCCCCTCCTACCTTGTAAGGATCTGACCTTGTGCAGGCCGGCCGGAGTCAGCCGGTCGGGCCCGGTGAGCGTCACGCAGGCCCGCCTCCGGCGCACCGTCCCGGGTAAACCCGCCTGGCCGCCGGTCTAGCGCGAGCGCCGGCTCCGTGCGATAGTGGGTGACATCTGGCAGGCTGCGCGAAACTCGTTCCGTCGAATATCGTCGTCGTGATATGTGGGCAAAATCTTCGGATCTGTCCCCAGCACGTTCTGTTGGACGATGAAGAGAGAAACCGTGAATATTTACAGCGCAGTGTTGGCAACGATGGAGCATTTAAATTGAATGTGGAGTGTTTCTCATGTTGATAAGGCATGGGAAAAGTGAGGAGAGAGAGAGAGAGAGAGAGAGAGAGAGAGAGAGAGAGAGAGAGAGAGAGAGAGAGAGAGAGAGAGAGAGAGAGAGAGAGAGAGAGAGAGAGAGAGAGAGAGAGAGAGAGAGAGAGAGAGAGAGAGAGAGAGAGAGGAGAGAGAGAGAGAGAGAGAGGAGAGGAGAGGAGAGAGGAGAGAGGGAGAGAGAGAGGAGGAGAGAGAGGAGAGAGAGAGGAGAGAGAGAGGAGAGAGAGAGAGAGAGAGAGGAGAGAGAGAGAGAGAGAGAGAGAGAGAGAGAGAGAGAGAGAGAGAGAGAGAGAGTGAAAGTAGCAGAGCCGAGATGGACGAGGCGGCAGGTTGTGGCCCGGTTCCATGTCATTGTCTGCCGCAGTCGTCATGCAACAGATCCACTGCCGACTAACCGAACTTCTATTCGGCAGAACGTTCCCAGGGTCCGCTACCAGCGCCGATCAGCCGCCGTCGCCGGCCGGTACTGCCAGCGAGCCCTTGCTGAGCCCCCAGCCGGCATCGCAAGGGAGCGCACCAGATCCCGGCGCGCCCCCACCGCTGGCTCCCGCCGATGCGGTGACGTCGGCGGCGCTGCCGAACGGCGCTCTGGCGGCGGGGCGCGCGGCGCCGGCGGACGGTGCGGACGGCGGCGGCGGCGGCGGCGCGCCGGACGACGGCCACCGTCTGCGGGCCTACTTCGCGTCGGAGGAGAGCGCCCCGCCCGCCCGGCGCGAGAAGGAGACGGACGTGTGAGGGAGGCGCTGGTGAGCGGGCCGACCGTGCGCGCCCACACGGACTCAGACGGCTCCCGGCTCAGACGGCGCGCCACACTCGGAACGCGTGCCCGGCGCCGGTGCCGCCGCCGCCGCCGCGCCGCGGGAGGGCCGGGCGGGAGCGGCCCCACTGCCGGGTGCCGGTGGAGGGGCGGCGGTGTGCAGTGGCACTCTGCTCCGGTGTTGGCTGCTCGTGGTCAGCGCCCCCGACGTTCGATCTGGATAAGGGAGGCGCGGCTTTGTTGATGCGGTTGTGGGGTACCGGTTTACGTTGAACTGGAGGGTGTCCAGTGTCTGGCCGGTTGGGGACGGTGGCCGCGGAGCAGGTCGGAGAGGCAATACTCTGCGGAAGAGCTCACGTGATGCATCACTGGTCCCGTTGGCCCAGCCGACTTCCGCGTTGGGGATTGCGGTGATTTGATTGGTAACGCGTTGTTGATCAGGAGGGAACCCAACTCACGGGCTCTGTTCATTGGTGAACAAATTTGCGGCCTGATTCTGGGTCTTTCAGTTGCTTTTCCGCTCAATTAGTCAAACCAGCTATTGAATTTATGTTCGTTGTATCACGGAATTTAGTTGAGCTCACTATAGTGCTTCCATTGTTTGTTGTTACTCGTTGTTGGCGATTAATTGAACGGATCGTTTATTTTATGGTGAATGCTTTGTTGATTTCAATGTGCAGACTGTCGCATAGTTACGCACATTTCGATGATGTACGAACTTTCTATAAACTCGTGATATCTTTTTCCGACGAGTGACAATTGACGCTTTAGACCCTTGGTTGTGATTGTGACCTTTCTGGACCTGTGCACGCCGCGAACAGCTTATGAGCGAACGACTGTCGCCTGGAGTGATATGGCTTCTCTGGCGGTGGTCTACTAGTCCAGACGGGCTCACGTGGTGCGGGAAATGGTGTCGGGAAGCTATTTTCCTGGTGTGGTCAAATATATTACATGCATTTCAGACGTACTACCTTTGTAGACAATGTCGTTTGAACATATCTAAATTTCGGCGTTAATAATGAGTTATGAGTAATTAGTTAAGTACTTAATTTATGTATTGATTAAGTAATTGATTAAGTAATTATGAATATTAATAATAATGAGCTATTAAGAAACAGTTATGCCAATGGCTGTACCGCGCTCCACTCGGATAACCGCTTCTTAGATCCTAGCCTCGTGCGATTTATTCATAAATGCATGGGTAGCTTTGCGAAACGCTGCACGTGTGCGCAGTTCAAACAGAACGCACGTGTAAAACTCTAAAAAGGCTTGGAGAGCACCCGGAAAGCCAGGTGCTTGTTTCCAGCGCCGTGGGAATTTTCAAGCCTCAAGCAACGCTGACGCTGATGTCGGCGCGTAATTAGGCAACTCTGAATAAACTCCAAACTATTTCTACCCATCGTTAGCAGATAAATGAACGGCTGATGTGTCATGAGGGCAAAATTGTCGCCCAAAAACAACTGCACCGAAACATGCACGTGGGCACACCAGTCACGACTCCGCCACACCAACAGCTCATGTCATCGTCAGGTGTTCCGCGAAATGTCTCTTCAAATGGTTTGGGAAAGAGACAAGTGGATGAAGTCGAAGATAGTCTGGGAACTCGTTATACATATTCGGTGTGCGAATAGAAAAACGTCATTTTACTATCTCAGTACGCACACCAGGTATGAACGTAGCACTGTTGTGTGCTGTCGGTCGACCGTGCACTTAATCCACTGTGTGGAGCATGCGAGCTTGTCAGGATCGTCCGCATGGAGGGTCTTGGTGAGAGACGGTGTGATATCTGACTGTGTTTGCAGTGGGGAGTCAACGAAGCCTCTGCTGTCGGTCCGACACATGATCAATTTTTGTCCAAAAATTAGCTTCACAGCAAAGTTTAAAAGCTTTTTTTCTCTCATCTCATCTCATCTCACATCGATCTGTGAACCGCTACCGTAAACTGATATGTAATAACGGACCTGTGACAGAACCAAGGTGGTCACCAGGGGGGCCAGAACACTGGCAGGCAGGCTATGTCCCAGATATAATAGGTCAGCTAAGATACCGAAACAATGATTACTGACATGCAAAGTGTGTGAATTCCAAATGAGATCGCAGCCAGCCACAAAGCCGAGATGAGATCCTTCCAAACAGGGGACAAGAAAGTGATCGCGGATTTTGAAGTGGGAAACGGTGCGGGATTTCGTTGGCTTCCAAGCAACAGCAGCTGTATTTTATTGGCATTAACTGTAAGGCCGTTGAGTCTGAACTAATCGTAAAGTGATGCCAATGCATTCTGCAAATGAGTGGTAGTGTTATTTACAGGGAATGCTCCACATGTCAAAATATTGATCGGGTATGACGAGCGCCTTTAGACTTTTGAGCCTGCTGTTCGGTTGCGGCGGTGCAGAAACTTTCAAACGCGACACGCACATCCCGTCGCGGGCGAGCGCTGCCACGGCGCCGCGCTGTCATCCGGCCGGTCGGCATGCAGCAGCTGGGAGCCAAGCGTAGCCAGGAGGCGAGATGGTATCTCCGGTCGCAGCCAAGGCCTCGCTGAGAGAGAATAGGCCGAGTTCAGTGGACAGCTCAAGCATCTTTGGCTTGATAATTTGAAAGTTCAAATGGCAGATAAGAAGTCCTGTTCGTTGACTGCCGCGCCAGCGCTGCCATCCGCTGCTCCGTTTGAGGACGCTGGGTGCGTGCCTGCCGTGCCGGTCCCGGCGGGAAGGGGCGGCCGCGGAGCTCCGCGGCAGGTCAGTCCGTTCGCGTGACACGGCGATTTGGTCATTTTGATTAGAGCCCTTTCGGCAAGTAATGATCATTTTAAGACTATGAGCGTGAATAGATAGCGGTAGGGGAAGACCACATGCACTTTGGGAACTAACCGCCAAGCATTTCCCCGGGCAGGGACCCCTCTGCGGGGTATGTACCAGACGCCCAGTCGGTGCCCCCCTCCAGGCGGCCTCTCGGCCCACTCGTGGCTGGTGCACACAGCCTGCCCCGGACAAGCGGGACGTCGCGGGGATGCAGGATAAAACAAAACAGAGGATAAGGGGGTCGGATGATGACGCGGCGCTGACGATGATGGCAATGACGCGGTGACCGGCAGCGGCCTGGGCAGAGGCTAGCCCGGGGCGACCTCGCGACGACTCATTGATGGTCAACCTCCGGATCACGTGGGGAGGCGGCCGGCCAGCGGAGATGCTTCACGCCAGGCTTTGCATGACAACCTGCGTCACGTGGAGCCGCAGCAGGTCAGTCGGGGGTCGGAGGACGGCCGAAAGATCACGGAAGAGCCGAGGAGACCCGCCACGGCACGCCAGCAGCGCACCGATAACGAACGATCACCTAGATCACGGATCGTGCTGCTCTCCGACACGCGCTCCGGTTCCGTCGGAGGTCGGAATCGCGATATGGGAGCACTAAATGGGTTATCGACTGGGCTATCTCAGTGACATGGCCCAGTGCACCTATTTCGCAATCCATATTCCATATATGGATCGCGATGTAACCCATATTCACTGAGTTATTTTACTCCTCCCATACACAACAAAGTTACACCGGGGATGGGCAGCGGGGTGTGGTACAGCGGGGAGCCCCGGCGCCACCTCCGACCGGGCAGCGGTGCAAAGGTAACTGAATAATTTACAAGAGAAAACAATGTTTGCGGATGTCGCGAGTGCATCCTGTTACACCATCCTTGCGATTAAGAACGGGTTGACAGCATGCCCTGACGTTTGGTGACAAGGACGGACGGCGTTCTCTACGGGCGAATTATGTCTGCGTCTTCAGCGTACTTTTACAGCACAGGCGAACTAATGGCGATTTCCTCGGCGGGATTTCCCGTGTAGCTGGCGGTGACGGTGGCCAAAGGTACAGCGGCAGCAGCCCGGTATGAAATTTCGAGGACTCCTCTCGCCACCCGTGCGCTGGCTCTGCATTAATCCCCCCGCCAATGAGCCGGTAAATATGACGTAGTTGGAGGGATATATTTCATTTATCGCGGTCAGGACATAGCAGAGTACACACGTCAGTAATGCTGCCCCCACCCTGCAATGGAGCGAGGGCGAAATGACCGCTGTGAAGTGTAAAAATCGCCGTGTCTCCGACGGGACCAGGCGTCGTACAAACGAGGCGAGCCTGGACGCACTTCAGTGTTCGTTGGAAATCATACAGTGGGCACCCAGGCGAGACGCATAACGTGCATTCTTCTGACGAAATGGAAAGACGTCGAGGTATGCCTGTGGGAGTCTGAGGGATTCCACACAAAACAAACAAGAAAAATATCGGAACAAATTGGCACCGTACGAGATCGATGTATTCCCCACATGAAAACACAACATGGCGTCGGACGCATCGGCTTGCTGCTTCGGACAAAGAAGTCAGCACAGCGCGCAGCGCCACACAGCATGCACCAGTACAGTCTGACTTTCATGCGGTTTATGATGCTCGACATGACGCAGCGTGATGCACGCACGATGCACAATGCACGATGCACGATGCACGATGCCCGATGCTCTATGATATGTTAAAAATGACCGGAAGGTTATCCTGGGGGGGGGGGGGGGGGAGTAAGCAGCACAGGCTTCTTCGAGACGTTCCAGCCTGAAGCCAGCGCTCTAAAGTGCATTCTGGAGAGAGCGCAGGATGTAAATACACATTTAAGGTACCCGAATCCCGGTTCTCCAGCGGTCTCCGCACGCGACTCGTGGGGGTTAATCCGTCGCCCTTTGACCCGGAACCGAGACATCTGACGGGCCCGGCCCGGTTGTCAAGCCCGAGGCGCTTAGATGCTAGGTTGGCCGCGGCCTGGGTCGATGCTGGTTGTCCGATTTTGGGCGAGGTAGGTAGCAACAGGCAGTGAGCCCCCCCCCCCCCCCCCCAGCCGGCGTGTAATAGCTCAATACCGGCATCCCTGCCACCCAAGTGGGTAAATGCTGAAACACTGCTTGAAGTTGGCTGCCATCGTGACGCAGCCTGGCCGTTTGATAGCTACAGTCCAGCTGAGGCTGCTCACGCGTCGGTGAAGAAGGCGACGCCATTTGTGGTGTCACGGTTTATCTCCGATGACCACCGGCTCCGATGCATCTGAAATGACAATAAGTTTTGCTGGTTGCGGCAAAGCAGGCCTGCCCCCAACATTTGTCTTACTAAGGATAACATATTTTGAACACGTGAGGTAAAGCTTGCTTTACCTTTACCTAGCTGTGCTGGGCGACCCTTTCCTCCCCTCCCGCCGATTACGCTGTCTTGAGTGTAACAACACAAAGCGAAACGCTTTCTTATCTATCTGGAACTATGAAACAAGAAACGGTGGGTTGTTTGCCATGATAGAAAATAGATGGGATGCGAATGTAAGATTTCAGGTCAACGGGTGACCTCCCAGGTCAGGTCCCACTCGAAATTTGACTCGATTGGTCAAAAACCGAAGAACACCGCAGATTTGATGTTGAAGTTGGAGTGATACAGGTAAACATACGCCACCAGGCTCTCATGAAAGACACCTGAGTGGAGCGTAGATGGTATGAAATTGGATGGGTTCCAAAACCGGGAACAACTACCTGAAATGTACTAAAGATGGCCGCGGTCAAAAACGTCATCTGATGCCTACTTAGACCAGTGACCTTGAGTAACCTAAGGTCACAGATCTGGTGGAAAGCAAAGGTGTGGTCCTTATACACTTCGTTTGGAATAAAAAGCATCAATTAAGATAACGACGGCGAGCATCTTGGGTGTCAAAGCTGCGGTATGCGCCGTTTTTTGACAACTCTAGCCAGATAACCTTTGCAGAGGGTCGAGTGCCGCATAGATAACTGACCGCGCACACCGCAGACGTGCTGTTCGAGATGCACGAGACAAGTAAGCTCAGTTTTATCTAAATCGTAAGTGCTCTCCCCCTCACCTAGTGCTTTTTATGCTAACAAGGACTTGTTTGAAACAATTTCACCATCATTTGCAACCACATCTGAACTTAATGTTGCGCTGTTCGAACTCCGTCCCCTCCATCTCCTCCCTATGTTTTGTTTACACTCCATCAGAACACCTGATTAGTCCATGAGCAGCTCTACCTGAAGACAGCTCCGGCAGCTGACACATGGTCTTCAGCGTGCTTCTTATAGCATTCTTACTCGGTGGAACATTTTTCTGAACAGACTGCGTTTCGATGGTCAGGTTTTCTCCTGGTGGAGCATCTTCCTCAGCAGACTGCGTTTCGTTGGCCAGGGTTTGCTTGATGATGTTCGTCAAGGTGAACGGTCTGGGTGAGCACAAGCCTCTGAAAGGAACCGCCCACTCATGCTGTCATGAGCCGAACACTGCAAGATGCCCCTATACACATGGGAGTCAAACAGAACGGCATACGTCGTTTCAAAGCATTGTGTGACATTCACGGTGACTGCTAAAATGTCCATAGAATTGTCCAAAAGCTTGGGTATGAAGGCCGGCGACCATTCCCTGACGTAAGCATAGCTGCATTGCCTGAGCGGTGTGTTACCACAACATTTCACTGTTTTACCTGGTTTTGATTTTGCATTCTGCACTTAATTGCTCCCTTTAAGTTAAGTTATGTCTTCTGAATAAAAAACACTCCTTTCGAACTCAAACCGCACCACATACAACAGGAAAAGCTCTTAATTCTCCGCGGAGAATGCGGGTCGCGTTCAGAACATCACAGTGGGCAGAATGACATAACGCCGGCTAAAATCGCTCAGTATCTACGATTGTCGCAACAATTTACGAACATTTTAGCCCAGTCTCTCCACGTTTTTGTCGCCTTTACGTCGGAAACATCTGCGATCTATAACAGATCGAGACTGTTCTGACAGCACGCACCGCCCACTCAGACACCACGACCTCGCTTCATCGGTAAACACCACTGAAGCGGAAGCCCACCTCGAGCGTGGCCGGCTGCTCTGCAGGAATCTCGGCTCTCACGCACCTGACATCGTCCATCGCCACGTCCCAGACGAACACGCCGGGCAGGCCGAGACCCAGGGCCAGTCGGACCTTTTCGGCCACCATATGCTCGTCGTCGTAGCCGAACCACTGTCCGTCGCCGACCGCCGCCGCACCGTACACGAAGTCCTCGTCCACCAGCTGCCGACCCGGCCGGAGGGGTAGGTCAGACACGGCCGAGCGGCACACCTGGACCTCGCCCACCAGCTGCCGGCCCGACCGGAGGGATAGGTCAGACGCGGCCGAGCGGCACACCTGGACCTCGCCCACCAGCTGCCGGCCCGGCCGGAGGGGTAGGTCAGACGCGGCCGAGCGGCAAACTGGACCTCGTCCACTAGCTGACGGCCCGGCCGGAGGGGTAGGTCAGACACGGCCGAGCGGCACACCTGGACCTCGCCCACCAGCTGCCGGCCCGGCCGGAGGGGTAGGTCAGACACGACCGAGCGGTACGCCTGGACCTCGCCCACCTGCTGCCGGCCCGACCGGAGGGGTAGGTCAGACGCGGCCGAGCGGCACAGCTGGACCTCGCCCACCAGCTGACGGCCCGGCCGGAGGGGTAGGTCAGACACGGCCGAGCGGCAAACCTGGACCTCGCCCACCAGCTGCCGGCCCGGCCGGAGGGGTAGGTCAGACACGGCCGAGCGGCACACCTGGACCTCGCCCACCAGCTGCCGGCTCGGCCGGAAAGGGAAGGTTATGCACAGATGAGTGATACACCTGGTCCTGGTCCGCCGACAGGTCGCTCGGCCAGAGGGAGGGGAGAGGTCAGACACAGCCGAGCCGCGCAGCGACCAGCAGTTCTGCTCCGCCATGCTTGCTGCGCTCGCGACTTTGGAGACCCTCGGCACCCCAGTGCGCCGGAGAACCCCCAGCAAGCGACGCTTCGTTGCCCTGGCGTTACGTGTGACGGCGAGGAACATTGGGGACAACAAGCTGGTTATTGCAGGATTAAATCTACAGCACATGACCACGTACAAAATTCGAGGATTAGCACCTCTTCAGTGCTCCTAGTTGCAATAAAATCGAGCGCAACATTCAAGAGGAATCAAGCGCAAACAGGATTATACCGAGCGCTAAGCCATGCAGTGCATTGCACCAGACAGGTAAAATCAGTACACAAATCGCATAAGCAAACCGCAACAGCTTCCACGGTCCGGAAATCGGGAATCGTTGCGTTGTGTGACGTGGTTGCAGGTCCAGGCACCACCTCGTAAACCGCCTCCCTTGTCGTCATCTGCAGCGGCCAGTGGGCCGCACCACCGTCAGCCTGGACCCCTGCTGAGCTACTGACGACGTCACGGCTTCCATCGACCTAGCTAATCCGAGGTGGCGGGAGCTAATGTTGGGGCGCCGTCGACGGTCTGGCGGGGGCTGATGCGAGCCAGTCGTGTGGCGCGCACTGCACTGGCACCACCCGCCATGTAACCAGCTATCGACAAAGAAACATCGCCTCACCATCGCCATTTCCAGCGTGGGACTCAGCTCACCCGCCAACCCGCCCAGTCAAAGACACAGCCCCCATCCACCATGAGACCGGACCCCATCCAGCATGAGACCGGGCCCCATCCGGCGTCAGACCGGGCCCCATCCAGCGTCAGACCGGGCTCCATCCAGCGTCAGACCGAGCTGCCATCCGGCGTCAGACCGGGCCCCATCCAGCGTCAGACCGGACCCCATCCAGCATGAGACCGGGCCCCATCCGGCGTCAGACCGGGCCCCATCCAGCGTCAGACCGGGCCCCATCCGGCGTCAGACCGGGCCCCATCCAGCGTCAGACCGGGCCCCATCCAGCGTCAGACCGAGCTGCCATCCTGCGTGAGACCGAGCTGCCATCCTGCGTGAGACCGAGCTGCCATCCAGCGTCAGACCGAGCTGCCATCCTGCGTGAGACCGAGCTGCCGTCCTGCGTGAGACTGAGCCCGCTTGAGACCCACCTTGTGCGAGGTCCAGCCGCGCTGCTGCATATTCTGGCAGATCTCCAGATAGCTCAGCACGCCGGGCTCCCGCGTGTACGGCCCGGCTGGCGCCAGACCGAGCGCCGGCATCGGCGCCGAGCTCTCCGGCTCGGCCACGCGCCACCCGCGGCCGTACAACGGGATGCCGAGGAGCAGCTTCTCGGCGGGCGCCCCGGCCGCCCGCCACATCCGCACGGCCGACTTGGCGTCCTGCTGGCTGAAGTCAGAGGGGCGCGGCGCCAGCGGTGCGTGGTGGCCGGCCACATCGGGCGTCCAGCCGCCCCGCATATCGTAGGCCATCACGTACAGCCGGTCGGCCAGTCGCGCCACGCGGCCCATCTCGAACGCCTTGCGTGCCTGATAATCGCTGGCTGGCACAGCCACGTGCAGTGGGCGGCCGCCCAGCGCGGCGCGCAGATCCTCCAGCAGCGCTGAAAAGTCGCGCCGCTGCCGGGCGCCGTCCGGGAACTCCCAGTCCATGTGCAGCGCGTCGAAGCCGAAGGTGTCGAGCGCGGCGGCGGCGCTGCGCGCGAAGGTGCGCCGCCGGTCGGCGTCGGCGGCCATTGCGGCGTAGTCGGTCTTGCGCGAGTCATTCCAGCCGCCGACGGCGAGTTCGGCGCGCAGGCGCGGGTTGCGCCTCTTCAGCCCGGTGAACTGCCGGTAGAAGAGCAGCTCGTCCGGCCGTGAGTGCAGCAGAGCGGAGGTGGCCGGGTCCAGCAGGGCAAAGGCGAAGATGTATGAGGTGCACAGTGAGGGCTCCAGCCGGTCCACCGTCACGCGACCGTCGCCTGAAAGAGCAATAATAGAGGGGCGAGTGAGACCGAGGCTGCGAGCAGGACGACGGGGGATGGGCCCGCCAGGGACCTGACACACCGCTGTCAGGAGGGCGGCGCCAGGCACTGGCATGAGGTCGCCTGGACGTTTTTGGCCTTGTGAGAGGCGCTTCACTGGGTTAGGCGCCTGGCCCGAGTTCCACAAAACCGTTTGGGTTAAAGTGTATATTTGTAGAGATAACTTGCCTATATATGGGGTACACTAATATGGGAGCAACGACGCGTCCACGGCCCAGTTGACAACATCCAGGCGGGCCCGCCATTTTGCATCCTGTAGTGAACGCATTCACGACACCGGACGTGGCCTTTAACGAGCAACGGAGGCCGCCGACCTCGGCGCTGGAGCGCGCAGCCGGGCTGGCACGGCAGCTCCGACCGAGACCACTGCGGGGCGCGGCGGGCAGCTGCGGTCTCACCTCCCCTGAGCCTCGCCCACGAGCCGTAGAAGCAGGCCAGCTCCCTGTCGGCGGCCCAGGCGGCCCCGAGCGGCGCCAGCAGCAGCAGCACCCGCAGAGACAGCGCCATCCCGCTAGCCCGAGCATCGGCGACTGACGACCGCCGGCTGCGGCCCACCGAGCGCGGGCTACCGCGATGGTGGCGCCGTACGGCGGCGGCGGCTGCAGTCATCACGGCGCGTGGTTGAAGGTTATTCCACCAAGCAGTAGAAATATCGTAGGTGCACTGATAAATGTCATGCGAGTTTCAATCTCGGTCAGACACAGTGCAGAGCGCATGGCACAAGACATCATAGTCATTTCACCGAGAGGTTTTTTATTGTCTGAGAAAATGAGCTAAAAATCAGGACAAACATAGATACTGCGATCAGAGGCTATCCTAATGCAAAATTCCGTTACTCACGGTCTTTTTCTGTCGATTTGATGCCGCCGATCATTTCACACGATCGGGCAAAAGAAGAGCCAAGAAAACACCTCACTAAAAACGGGGATCGAAAAGCATCTAGTTATTGTAAAACTTCGTTTGAGATAATTCGTTGCGAGTGACTGCGCCATAGTTGTCAAAAGACGAAAAATATGACTGCAGCTAAATAGGTCACACTCAGCAGTTCTTTCAACAACGGCGGAACATCCATGCATTTCGAGTGAGATTTCAGCCATTCGAGTAAGGAAATGAAAGCTGGAATGCTTCAGTAGTCCGAAAGCAGCGTCTTATTGACAGGCGTGACCCGGCGCGTAAGTCTGGCCGCATTAGGTCTCGTGGGTTTTTGGGCTCGGACTCAAGGGAAAGGCTCGATTTTGCAGTTAGTTAAATCGGGCTCAGAACCAGACCACTGCCTCAGCATTTGAAAGACAGTGATCCTTGGGTTTAGCCTCAAAACGTCGGGACTCTGGCTCGGATCCATAGTTGGCTTTTCATTCAAGTCGCGACCGTGGTTGACGCCACATTTTGGGAGAAAAACAGAATGACCCAAAAATGATGTGTTTTGATCATATGGGTAATGCATGTTCGAGCAGGGCAGCTACCTTACATTAAGCGGCTCATGTCCGATTTGGCCGGTTCCCGTTGAGTGCCGCTGGGTTTAGTTAGGATGAATCGGCTCGGGCGTAAGATCTTAAATCGGCCTCTAAAACCTGGTGGCGGCTTCTTTCCTATGCCTACAGTTCGATGACTTTCAACTAATACTTGGATTGAGTGTTTAGAATTTCTTCTCATTATCTCAGTCCAGACTAGAGTCCGGTCCATCCACCAATCCGGTCAATGAATCAGTTCCCTGTCAGCTTCGCCAGGAGCCGGTCCAGGGAACGAAAAACAGCTCGCTTCTCATGTCTGGCCCGTTCGTACAACGGGACTATCGAGGAGCGCATCCTCCAACGACACGCAAGCTGTCTGCTGCCGACACAGCTGTCCGTGAGAGCCAGTCGGCAGTGACACCAACCCACACAGGCCGAGCTGCGGCTTGGCATATATCAGCGTGGTGCAGCGCGACGTTGATGACAGCTGGCCCGCAGCACACAGCCAATATTGCATCAACGAACAACAGCTAGGCCGCAGTACATAGTTAGAGCTACATCACTGAAAGACAGCTGAGCCGCAGTAAATACTTAGTGCTACATCACTGAACGACAGCTGGACCGCAGCACAGTCAGCGCGTTCATTACTGAACGACAGCTGGGCCGCGGTACAAAGTCAATGCTACATTACTGAAAGACAGCTGGGTCGCTGCACACAGTCGGTGCTACGTTATTGAACGACATCTGGGTGGCAGCCCACCGTTTCAGCATAACCCCGACAACGCCCAGCTGTCTTCACTGTGAATACCTGAACGTCAAGGTAATGAACTACTTAACCTGCACACCAAATGCAGGTATTGGTCTTCGGAGTGGCCTCGTCTCCCGGCTCCAGCGCGCCGCGGAAATTGCCGAAGGTCAGCCTAGCCAGTACCCCGCTGTTTCTACCCAGTGAAAATCGCTTGGGTGTGTGCGTGACATCCTGTTCGTCGGTACTGCACGGGATTGCAAAAAATCTGGCATTTTGGTCAGCTTTAGTTGTAGTAAGGACTATTCAAATCTGAATTGACCATGCAAACTAGGTACTCTGCGTGCTTTCGTCCCCCATCCACGCCTCAGCAGTATGCGACTCTCTCTCTCTCTCTCTCTCTCTCTCTCTCTCTCTCTCTCTCTCTCTCTCTCTCTCTCTCTCTCTCTCTCTCTCTCTCTCTCTCTCTCTCTCTCTCTCTCCTGTGACTCAGCCCAGCCATTTGGAGTGAGCTGTGCCTGCACGGTTACTCGATTTATGATCCAATGCCGTCTCAAACGTCCGTAAACGTCCCGTCGGGCCACAATATGGCACCAGCTGAGGATGATCGGGCGCGCCGCCGCCGGAGCCGACGGCATCGTTACCAGCCTCGGACGACATCAGAGCTGCGACAGCACTGTTAAAGCCAGCCTCTTGCCGACTACGCCTGTCATGTTTCGAGATACCAAATTCAAGTTTGATGTGATATTTCAATCTGTTCGTGTCGATCGGTTTCCCTGATGATGAAAATCTCCGTTTCCGTTACTCCGACAACAGCACCTTTAATCTCACAACATGTGACATGGTCGGTGACTGTTTCCGCACGTATATCACTGAGAAAGCGCAGAAGGTACAACCGAGCACCGCCTCTTTCGCATATCCAGCTTTTGCTTCTATCGCGCGCTAAGCCAAGCCTAAAGGCAGAGCCACGTGGGGATGCATTCGGAAGGCTGTGATAACTTACCGGCACGTATAACTGTTGGGTCATTTATCTTGCAGTCACAGAGTCCCCGCCTGAGACCGGAGCCTGTGTTTCAAAACATCGTGTGCTTGTTTCTTATAATCCTCCTCTCCTCCTCCTCCTCCTAAACGTCCTTCTCGCAATCCAATCAAGGCCATACATTCATGGCTGATGGGTGAGTGCACGTGCGATGTGAAGTATGCGTCATTCATGACGTCATAGACATTACAACATTATGGAAAAGATTCTGAGTTGTGGGTATTATTACACTTCCCACGGGACTGCTATTACCCAAGGCTCGTTTAAACTGAACACAAATCCAATATAACTATGAACATGATTTACACCATCTGAGCGAGCAACGTCCTTCTCAAAGGCGTTGTTCGCACGCTTCGCTACACGTGCTATGATCAAAAGCGTTGTGTGGTCTGATCAGGTTTATTCGATGCACGTAAGAACAGTAAGGCATATGAGAGTACACGCTGTTAATGCCGCCGAAATCGGAGAAACGCCCGGCCTATTTTGGTGGGTTTTATAAACAGAGGACGGTACACATCAAAAATCGCCGTGCATTGTCAAATCAACGGTCCGTTTACAAAGCGCATGGCTTGCCATGACCTGTAGAAAAGTATGATTCTATCTGACGCACATTCCAGGCCCGTGCATAACGACAGGTAACAACAAGTTATATAACGCCAACATTCACGCTCTCAGCACAAGAAACGACCCATTATTGACATCAGTTCCCTTGGCAATGCGGCGAACATGTTACGTTCCAATTTGCTGTAGCTGCCAGCAACAGCCTTCATTCAGGTGAAAGCATTGGTAGGGATCAGAGGCTTTGGCCTGCATTTACCTTTCCATGAATGTTTTGCGGTTATTTCATCTCTAAAACAAGGCAAAATGTGTCTCTTAAAGTATGCCTCAGCATCAACAGATGCAGCACGGCAAAACTATTGTCTAATGCGATATTTTGCTAAGCAGAGCTTTTTGAAATTTTACGACCAAAAATATTGCCATGTTCAGAAGTTTCTTTGTGCAAACGGCCCGACTAGAAAGTACCATTATACTCCTAAGTGTAAATTAAGACTCTAGCTATTTTGGCAACGCAACCAGCAAACGTTCAGTAAATAAAAGATGAAATACGGGTCTGGAGGAAATGGCCCACCTTCCTGCGACTTTAACTCAACACGACTGTTGTCCCAGTGGTCCCGATCCCTTTGAAACGCTTCTATCCATGCGATGCCAGGTTGATGTTACATTAAACTCCACAAACGATGGCGCCTTAGTCCTCGTTATTTCTCCACCCTTACGGCGGAAGCCATGGTTGTCACACAAACATCACCTGGAGCATATCCACAGCACGGCTCATCCAACTCACGCCGATCCCGAGAAGGGATGTACCACAGTAAACATTGTACAACCAACACCCCGCAGTCTCCGTTGAGGTGCCGCCCTGGGTGATGTCCGGTGGTCCCTGTCCGCTCTCGCAGCGTCGCACGATCCTACTGTTGTCACGCACTACTCTTCCAACTCCCGCGGACCACTGCCCTCCGTGCAATCTCTCGCCAAGCCCAGGGTCCACACCCGCACCGCGGCTGTGAAGGGTGGTGTTGCCAGGCCGACACCCCACACCACTGGCAACATCCACACCAGCGCCAGAGTCGACCGTCCCGACGCCGCCCGCCGGCTCTACACGTGCAGTTCTGAAAGCCGTTCTTGCGAGCTGCACCGGCTGGCGGCGTCGGCTGGCCTCAGCACGTGCCGGCTCGGGTTCCGCGGCAGCGTGGCGGCCACCAGCACGTGTCGCTGCACGAGCGGCACGGCGTCAGGCGGCCGGCCGCCGCGTGGCGGTGGCGGTGGCCGGGGCACGGCGCGCACACAGGCGGCCTCCAGCAGCGCCGCCGGCGGCCGGTCGGCGAACTGCGGCGGCGGCATCGCCGTCCGCGGGCTGCTGAGCGCATGCCATCGCGCTTTGGCGCTCGGCTGCCAGGTGGCAGGCCGTTCTCGGCGCGCCGTCGCCACTCGACGCGGCCCTTCTCGCGCTGGTAGTACACCCCGGCCAGTATGAGGATGTTGAGCACGAGCAGCGAGCAGCCGATGGCCACCTGTCACGCTCAGCGCCGTGCTGTACACAGAGAAGGCGCCTGGCTGCGGCGGAGGCGGCGGCGGCGGCGGCGGCGGCGGCGCCACCGTTGCGCCCCCGGCAACGCCCACGCTGCCGTCCAGTACGGCGCTGGCGTTGGTGTCGCTGGCGGCGGTGGTGGCGGCCGGCGGCAGCGGCCGCCAGGTGGCCGGCACGGAGCGCACAGAGTCCAGGTACAGGTGCGGCCGCGGACCGTCGTCGAAGAGGTGGTGCTCTGCCTCGGGCCGGCCGGCGCCGCCTCGGCGGTGGATGCCCGGCAGCAGGTCGAGCCAGAGCGCCACCTGGCGCGGCCGGTAGTGCCCCAGCACGCGCGGCGTCCCACCTGGCGACACGCGCGGGCACCGGATCAGCAGGGTCAGGCGCCGGGTCAGTGGGAACTCATGGCACCTCACGCCGTTGGCGACGTCTTGCCAGGGGCGCTTCTCTGGGACGGAGGGGAGGGGCTATCTCAGTTACAAATGCCTCCTGCTGTCTCATTTGCCCCGTACTTTGTCCCAAACGGATGAAAACAAGTCGACATAGGCATGCCCTGGGATCAATGAGCGCTGAGCAGAAATTGGGGAGGGGCTATTATGCCAATTATAAGGTCGTGCGCCTCCCATAAAGTAACGCCAAAAACTATAGTTACACCCCGATCACGCTCTTGTTGTGACTTCATTTTAAAAGCAAGCCTTATTTCTGTCTATTTTACGCCATATTATATATAAGGACGCTATTTATAAACGGCCAGAGCTCCAGGCAAGTCAGGTGCGCTGAGATCACCCGTGGTCAGAAAAGACGTCGCCAAAGTGACCGCCCATGGAAACGGTTTAGCCAGGAAGGTGTTTGTAGGGATTGCTGGGCGTAAACATTTCATGCTTCTTGCAGCTACGACGAAGTCGAACATAAATGCTATTTGTACACCGAAAATATAAGTGCTATGTGACTTTCTAAAATGGTAGGGAATACAAAGTTGAACTTCCCAAATGGTTGAGACTTCAATATCTGAACTGACGCCCCAATGGGACCAAAACTGCCGGAGGCGCGTGGGATCTCTGCAAATCCGATAACCTTGCTGCCTGTTAGAAATAACAGAAAGATGGGACATTTTTGCGTTTCATAGGTAAATTGTGCTTTTTTTTAGAAAGTGCAACATGCGAGATATGTTGAGAATTGTGCCGGGAGGCAATAAAAAAGCACAATCAGTCCAGCTTTACCTTATTTGTTTTCAAATACTGACAGACCATTCCAGGTGCACTTGCTGACATCAGTGCGCAACGAAAACGCAGAGCGATGCCTGCTTTGAGCACAGTTAGGTTGAACGACTATCTCGTCCGCAGCTTAGAGTGTATGTCGAAAACTTAAAACACACACGAACACACACATACACACACACACACACACACACACACACACACACACACACACACACACACACACACACACACACACACACACACACACACACACACACACACACACACACACACACACACACACACACACAAATGTCTCGGTTACCGAATGGTTACATTGACAATGCTGATATCACCAAACATCATGCCCTCTCGCCAGGCGTGCTCCTAGACTTACCTAGCGCCATGTATTTCTTGTACTGATGCTCATATGGGCTCCAAATTATTTTTCTGTAACGTTCCCCGCTATCACCTCCGAAGAACACATCCTTGGGCTTGTTGGGATCCCTGTGAAATGTTTACTGGTCAACGTGTTTTAGGCGCACAACAGTCAAATGCAATAGAAATGAGCGTGCTCTTTTTGTCGGCTTGGCACCGGCTTCTAGGTCAAAACCAACCAACGTAGTTATCATTATTGAAACAAATCATTGCTGTTGGACACAACGTGTATCTTTGGAAGGACGGTAGGGCCATTGCTTGATACGGCCGAAAGAGCGCGGTTCGTTATACTACGTCATTACATAATTACTATCCACAGTCACGTGCACTTATCAAACCCAGCAGGCGGTTATACGCCGTGAAAAAGTATTTTTAGCTAGATCACTGAAAGCGTTGGCCCACTCATGACCACAACGAGACACTATGAGACGTATCGGCCAGAACCTCGCTTTTCCAATCCGAATAGTTTTGAATCCCTTTTTGAGCATATGCAAGATAATATGTAACGAGGCTTGGTGCCATTTTTTTATAGAGGGCAGTTTAATATCTCTTCACCCTGCATCTTGAAGCAGTGAAGTTATAGCTTGACTGATTCACCGAAGTTGTTCACCCAAAATCGTCTAAGATCATTGATAATCTGTTATTTCAGTAGGTCTTCCTTCAACACTGGGATACACGCGAAGTGGGGCTTATGTAACGTGACACCAATGGATGTCTCACGGCAGCGACATAAGTGGCGCGAAATTTGCGCCAGGCGCATGGCCTCATTTGTTTCCATTTCGGCAGCTCTGCAGAACAATTGATGTCGATGTCATGAGCCAAAATGGGACCCATCATACGTTAAAGCACATATTGCTTTGGAGTCCCAGGAGGCTGGCAACCGCAGAGACCTTCATTCTACTATATATATATATATATATATATATATATATATATATATATATATATATATATATATACACGTATGCACATATATGCATTTCGCTCAATTACTAATAACGTGCATATCAGTTGCGGTCATAAGGACGGCGTCATTATCACCAGGGGCTCAGCCGGCGGCTTTCACGGTGACAGCACTGCGTGTCATTCCATAATCTGGTGATGAAGAGCATAATTTTGTTTTTAATTACCATCGACCACAATGGGCAGTAATGCGCCACGCTCAGCAGCAAAACTTTAGAGACAAGACCAGCGAATATTTGCGTGGATGTGCACGGTGCACAGCTGAGACGATTTCTTTTGATAACGGGCGACACCAACGTGAACAGCCAAATCAGACACCAGTTACCATGCCTATCAGTGTTTGTGCCGTCTTTAATCCGTTCGCAGAGCTTAGATGCTTAGATGCTGAATGGCCTGGGGTTTGGTCCTTGGACTCTAGCTTCTTCCCCTCGCCAATGTTGACCGCATCTCTCGGCAAGATGCGTGTTACCACCCCGGCTGCAACAGTGCTGCCTGCGTCTGTTACCGGCTGCAACAGTGCTGCCTGCGTCTGTTACCCGGACTTGGCGAAGTTGGTCCAGTAGGTGACGGCGGCCTCGGAGAGTGCGCGGTCCTCGGCCGACCACAGGCCGGTCAGGTGTCCCGGCCGATGCACGAGCGGCTCGCCGAACACGTACGGCAGCTCACCTCCGTATGACAGCCGGGAGCCCTGCGGCGCACGTGGAGCCGTCACGTCAGGGCGCAGCGCGACCTGGTGTGGGTACAGAGCCGTCAGGTCAGAGATCAGGCTCAGACCTCTGGCGCATCGCAATTGAAGGGGTGGGGAAGACCAGGGCAGCATGAGGTGCTCAGCCGTCGTGGTATGTGAGCGACGAGATGATCTGGGAAATGGAAACCCCTGTGCAATTTATGTGGTTGTCATTTGTCAACACGTTACCACGCTACCATGACAAACCAGTGACGTATTTCAAGAATTTTGTTTGAAGGCCAGTCAGGTAGCTTTATGTTAAATTTAGCGCTACAGTTTCGTTATTTAACATTTTCACCAGAACTAACGTGTTACCAGTTACAACAAATAAGTAGCACATGTGGCTTAGAAACCAGAGTAAAAATTACCCAGCACTGTAAGATTCTGAATAGACCAGGGGAAGAAATACGGCAAAATCCATTGTCAGCAAAATATACAGATGCGCGATCGTAACCATATGCTAACAAGTCCGGAGGTCACCAGCATGAGTTTTCCACATCTGACGAAAACCGTAGCACTCTCGCAAACGCATCCCGACCAGCAGCGCCACAGGGATTTCCAACCGGTGTGTTGATGTGTGTTTTCAAAAACACACCCGCGCGCGAAGTTGATCAAGAATCTTTGTCTTTTACCTCCTCTTCTCTGATTCTGTTCTATCCCCACCCTCGATCCCATCTCCCAGAAATGTACTCTGGAACCGCCGCGTAGCAGCTTAGACAACGGCAAGGTCGGTAGCGAGTACAGATCCCTTACAAGCCAGAGTATCCCCTCCCCCTCCCATACGGTAGTGGTTCAGCTCAGCCGGAGTGGGGGGCTCTAGCAACTTAATACGGACCAAAACAATCATATCAGCCACGGAACTTTCAGGGAAATTTGCCACCCTTCATCAGCGTATGGAGCTAGTAAGGGAGATAAATGTCGAGACCCCAAAGTGCCTAAGCCGTTACAGCGATAAAAGAGTACCAACACGTCACCTAGATACCAAATACGGCACAAACACACATACTCTTCATCTGATAAATATTCCTGCGAGTTCAAAACGGATGCACAGCGCTGAGCAGGGTGGCGTGAAGAAAGGGCGCTGTTATCACAGTGGTGGCACAAGGCTGGTACAGTGCGGACGGAGAGTGGGGAAGGGGGGGGGGGGGGCGGGAAGATCCCGTTCACGTTTGCGTTATTTGGTGAGGTGAGAATGGTCTCGCGAAGGCTGACGGCGCGGATACCGGCCGGTTTCGGTAGGATGCGAATTTGCGGACCGGATCCTCGTGCCAGGATCTCAGCATGGCCGAATGTTGGAATGCAGCCCCGTGCACTGACAGAGACTGATGCCTCCGTTTTCGTTCTAGCCCCTCTCTCCCCAGTTTCCTTAACCACTGTTTGCAGGCCTAGATCCACCACGTCCAGGCATAAATCACCGGTGAGCTGTCGCTGTGCAAGAACAGTTGATCAGACAGACGCTGCAGCTTTTCCGCGCCTTAGGCAGCTTGTGCTTGGTTTTGCCGCGCAGTTATGACGTCACAGTGAGGTGAGGTACGTAAACTAGCTGAAGCCGATGGAACTGGAGACGCACCTCAGCTGGGAGAAGCAGATGTCGGGGAAAAGAGAGGGAAGAGGCATGAGCTGCAAGTCGGCTGGGTTTTTTTTGGGGGGGAGAGGGGGGGGGGGCGCACTCATTCCGCGTCAGGTTTCATTGTGCCCTTGAGATGAACAGGCATTTGGGACTTAATATTTACCTTTCTCTCCACACCACAGGATTCCGAGACTCACGCGAACCATCCGGCTACCGCCTCCGCCCAAGCGCGCAGTGTTCCCTCCGCCCGTGGCCAAAGTTAAGCCATAGTACGGCCGACGTCCGACTAATTCGGCGCCGGGGTTGGCGGCGGCGGCCGAACGGCCGGCTAATTTCCCAGGCGGCTCAGGGCGGGCCGGCTCGGCGGGCCGCGGCCTGTGGAGGTCCCAGGATCGGGGGAGACCGGAAGCGGAGACGGGAGAGACGGAGGGACGGCAGCTGGCGACCCGGAGCACGACCCTGGGCCGGCGTCGCAGTCAGCCGGACCGGTCAATAGGTGGATACTGGGCTGGTCAACAGGTGGATACTGGGCGGGTCAACAGGTAGATACTGGGCGGTTCAACATGTGGACAGTCACATCAAAGGCTGTGGTCGACACACGCGACCACCGCACACTGCCTATTCTGGTTCAAATGTGACCGGACTTCAGTTCCTGACTGGCTGGAAACGGCCCTGATTTTATTGCTTTCTCTTGCCGAATAAATTCACCTGACCATGTGTTATCATTCTCAAATAATTATCTTCTCTGAAATCATTTTCTCAGGCACTTGAGCTCTTTGGTGTCGGTTTCGCAAGTCAACTTGCCAGTGTGTAGGCAGCAATTTTCCAAAATCATGGCAAGACCAGTCAGAGCAAATTATAAAGTTAACTTCGTGAGCAAACTAAAAAAGCCTGCGTCCGCCGCCGGCCCGTCAGGCACCGGGCGACACGGCGGCTGGTCGGCCGCGTGTCGTCTTTGGTCTGGCAGACAGAAAACGCAGTGCGTCTTTCACTGTATACGGAGCAACACTAAGGGAAAACAATTACCGACATCATCAGCATCATCATAATCACCATCACCATCGCCATCACCACCTCCATCTCCATCACCATCATCATCATCCATCACCATCACCATCACCATCACCATCATCCATCACCATCACCATCACCATCACCATCACCATCACCATCACCATCACCACCTCCATCACCATCACCATCACCATCACCATCACCATCACCACCACCTACCACCGCCACCACCACCATCAACACCATCACCCCCATCAACACCATCACCACCATCGCCAGCATCACCACCACCACCACCATCACCATCACCATCACCATCACCATCACCACCACCACCACGATCACCACCATCATCATCATCATCATCATCATCATCGCATCGCACGCAGAGACCCACGGATTTGGCCTCGCGAACATGTACGCTTGGATGCCTGTTTTCGAGAGCGTCACTCGCGTATTATTGGATTGCCAGTTACGAGCTGGGCGAAGACCTCTAAACACAAAACAGTCATAAATGAACGGAAAAACGACACAACGGCGCTTTAGAGATACGATGAGCTTGGTAGGTGTCAGCCGAGATCAGGGTAAGCGAGGCATCAAACGGCGGCAACACGGACATTTCAGGCGTTGTTTTTGCAACAACGGCACGTCTATCGGAATAATTGTGTTTTCCATTCATAGAGACGTTCCATCATTTGTTACAAAGTTCCATGTATGGCTTTCGTTAACGTGTAACTCTTTTTAGAGGTGCTCTAGTTCCACAGGCATTTAGCGGGACGCATTTGTAAGGTTGGTTGGATAGGAGGTTTGACTTAGCCGTGAAGCCAGCGGTGTCCCATCAGAGCAGAGGACATTCTTCAGCCTGTGTTGACACAGTTCGTGAGGTGTCTGAGAGCAGTAACAGCAGAGGGCCCCGGCAGCGGTGCTCGGAGCGGGTCGTTTGGCGGCCGGGCGCCGCAGGGCCGCGTCACAAGGAGGACCGCTGGGAGCACCAGCAGCTGACGGCCAGGGTGCGCCACGCCAGGCTGGCTGGACCGGTCACATGCGGCTATAAGACGGCGCGAAGGTGCTCACAGGCATAACCACTCGTGTGGCAGGCTTAGACTCCCGGCGGGAGGTCACGTTTGCGGTGTGTTATGATAAGAACACCCATAAAAGCCGTCCAGAAACACCCGGGTTAAATCATGGGATTGGTGTCGCGAGCTTCCATACATTACGTAATCGACGGCGGTAAATGTGATAGGAGTTGAGACATAATTCCTTATAGGTACCGCACAAGAGTGTTAAAACATGAGTCGCATGAGAAGGCAGGCGCAAATCAAAAGAGCAGCGTGCACACGACGCAAATCATACGCAATAAATATATCCATATCAGCTTAGAGTAACAACGAATTAGTATTGATCAGATGCAAACGTTAAGCATGGTTCGGCTGAGTGATGGTGCTTCAGCATTTGCATCCCTGATGATCTTTCCCTCACTACATTTGTTTGCGTTTTAATGCTGCTGGTCATGCCTAAAGGTTTTAGGATAGTGTGGACGGAGTAAATACATGAATCTGTTAATCGCATATCATGGTAATAAAACGGAGCATTGCATGAGCAGAAACCAATTGCAACCAAATGCAGTTAGGAGCCACGGTAGTCTACGGATAGCTAGAGGTAGAGTAGATATATCACAGAAACATTGGTTGCCAGACTAATCCATAAGTGGCACAGTCAGGTGACACAAGGTCTGCCAAAACGCCCGAGACATTTTACGTGCTACCAATGAACAACGGTTGCCGCAATTTTCCTGAAGGCTTTTCCTCGTCCCATACGTACACCCTCGAGGCGCACGTACTATCAATGACATCTGCGTGCTACTGATGGCCTCAGATTGCTTGCCATTATCAGAGAACACAAACAACCCGAGGCAATAAGAAAAGGGCAGGCGATGGAACAGCCGAAAACAATTACGAGCAACAGCTCGTTTGCAGTTTTCCAAGGTTTCATTACGTTGACCAGTCTTTACTTATACTCGTACATGCTAGATAAATCGCGTGGCTAGGAACCCATGATATGGCTGTCTTACCTCTGAGAGATCTGAGGTCCCTCGGTGTCCACCAAACACGTAGAAAAACGTGCTCCTGTCGTCGGGGAAGAGACTGGCCGTGTGCAAGGCCGGCGCCACAAACTGCGCGTCGCTGAGCGCGCGCACCAGCTCGTCTCGCAGCCGGCGCGGCTGGCGCTGCGCGCGCGTCCAGTCCGTGTACTCGTGTCCGATCACCGACAGCAGCTCGTTCAGGTGGTAGCTGTACGAGTTCTGCACGTAAGTCCGGAGCAGCCGGTCGCGCTGCTCTGGCGTCACACCTGACGTCAGCTGGCGCTCGCTCAGCTGGTGGTCGGCGTCTGATGACGTCACGCCCGTCATCAGGCCGTACGAGGTCAGCCGATGCACGTAGGAGGCCCGGTTGGTGAAGAACTCGTCGCTGATGACGATGCCATCTAGCGACGGGCCGAAGACGGGCAGAAAGCGGGGGCCGACGACAGGTGCCGCTAGCAGCGCGGCCAGTGGCTTTCGCCCGTAGGCAGGGCAGTAGGGCGGTCTGCGATGGCGTGCAGTTGGTGTGGCGCGCCAGCTGGCGCGTGGCGTTCAGCGGGCCGCTTAGTAGAGCCCACGGAGCCAGTGAGGAGCCGCTCATGAGGATAACTCGATGAAACAGCAGGCCTGGAAAACAGTGTTAACTTTACCTCGATGCGGTCGAAACCAATCTGGTGATGGGATGGGAGAGGGTTCGTACACCCCGGTTCAAAAAGCACTCTCATACGAAACTCACCATTTCATAAGTGCAACAGGAGATCGGATGTACTGAATCTCCTTTCCGGCTCTAGCGTTTGTGATACAGCATGGAGTAAGCGTTTTTCTGTGTTTGTCTTCGGAACAACTGAAACTGAACTTGTCTGGAACAGCACTCATCTGGACTAGGAACGAAAATGCTCGCATGATCTTCATGGTGAACGGCATAGTATCGCATTTTCTCGTAAACTGGACGGAAAACTGTAGTTGACATGTCACCGGAAGACCTGCAATATGCCATGCCATTCCCGGTCCGGCTCCTCCTCCGGTCATCAGAGAACAACAGAGGTAGCCTGATGCCATCAGGAAGGGTGAGAGGGACTCACCAAGCAGTATCGAGCCTGACGTCACCAGGAAGGGTGTAAGGGACTCAACGAGCGGTGCCGAGCCTGATGTCATCAGAAGGGGCGGGAGGGACTCACCGAGCTGGGCCGAGACTGACGTCATCAGGAGGGGCGTGGGGAGCTCACCGAGCGGCGCCGAGCCTGGCGTCATCAGGAAGGACATGAGGGACTCACCGAACGGCGCCTAGGCTGACGTCATCAGGAAGGACATGAGGGACTCACCGAGCGGTGCCGAAGCTGACGTCATCAGGAAGGACGTGGGGGACTCACCGAGCGGCGCCGAGCCTGATGTCATCAGGAAGGACGTGAGGAACTCACCGAGCGGCGCCGAGCCTAACCTCATCAGGAAGGACGTGAGGGACTCACCGAGCGGCGCCGAGCCCAACCTCATCAGGAAGGACGTGAGGGACTCACCGAGCGGCGCCGAGCCTGACGTCATCAGGAATGTTGTAAGGGACTCAACGAGCGGTGTCGAGCCTGACCTCATCAGGAAGGACGTGAGGGACTCACCGAGCGGCGCCGAGGCTGACGTCATCAGGAAGTTGATACAGGCAGCGCCGGCGCCGTGGCCGAACACAGTCACGCTGGTCGGATCGCCGCCGAACGCGCTCACAGTCAGCCGCACGAACTCGAGCGCGGCCACGATGTCGAGCAGGCCGTAGTTGGCCACCGCCCGCACCGGCTCGAAGTTGGCGTTCAGGAAACCTGCCGGCGAGGCTGGCGATCAGACGGCTGCCCCCTCCCCCCCTTCCCCTCCAAGGCTGGTCGGAATGGCGTATTTGACCCCGGAACCAGTCTGGCCCATAACTGGTCAGACGTGTGATCGGGAGCTGACCCCGGCGCTCGTCAAAATGATGGCTTTGGCCTCAATAGCCGTCAGATCGGCGGTCATGACTCAAGTGCAGGCAATGGTGGTGGCCCAGCTTTGGCGCTGGTTCACACATCACCCAGTCTTGCAGGTCCACTCAGCTCTGATGACTCGCCGAAAGCCGGCCAGCTTAGAGCGGCAACATCGTGCCCGGCTGGTTCCGTGAAGGACCCATTGCCCAAAACGGCTGGTGCAGTCGGCGATGGAGTCGACACGCAAGCTAAACGGACTTTGATGAACGCGCTCGGTGCACACAAATATAAACTAGGCAGTTCTCGACTCAATTCCAATAGATCATATTGTCTCTTGATGATCTTTTAGGCACGCAGGACTCTGGGGATATCTGCATGCGTATTGCAATGCTGCGACACAGCTGAACGCGTCCAAATGATCATTTCTCGACAGTTACCGCCAGGCCCAATTATGCTGGTCGGGCAAACCGATTAGTTCGTTCTGGGAATCTAGCCCAATGACGCTGATCTACCGAGCCCAGCACCTACATCCCGCCGGTCACAAAACTGTTGAGCTACTGGAGCGTGAAAGTGCACTTTAAAGTGTGCTCACAAACGCTTCCGGCTGAGAGCCCAGCGCTAATACCAGCGCTCCCTGGTGCACCGACAGGAGGCCAACAAACAAAACATAAACAAACAAGAATCGCCCCCTGATGGCTGACGGCTTCGAGTGGGATCCAGCGGCGGCCAGCTGGCGGGCGGACGCCTCGCCGGTGCGACAACAGCTGCACAAACAAGCAGCGGCATCCCAGTTTGCAGCGTAGTGTCTGGCCGCGTGATCGACTACTGGAAGCGACGGGCAGAGCACGTGCCGATCAGTGCGCCTCGGCGAACACCGGTGGCCGCGCGTCGCACGCAGACGCCGGCCGTCCGGCAGCGGACCCGCGCACAGGGGTCCGGCAGCAGATCCGCGCACAATGGCCCGGTAGCAAACCCGCGCCCAGGGGCCCGGCGGCAGACCCGCGCACAGTGGCCCGGCAGCAAACCCGCACACAGGGGCCCGGTAGCAGACCCGCGCGCAGTGGCCCGGTGGCAGACCCGCACACAGGGGCCCGGCAGCAGACCCGCACACAGGGGGCCGGTAGCAGACCCGCGCACAGGGGCCCGGCGGCAGACCCGCGCACTGCCAGTGGTGGGGCGGATCCGGAGACTGGCAGTGGCCAGACAGACCCGTTCACTGGCGGTGACGCGGCAGGCCATGGCACCGGCATGGCAACAAGCCTGTACAGCGACGGTTGCGCGGCAAACTCATACACCGCGGAGGCGGCGCGTCGCCCATGACAGATCCTGTCTTTGACATTGGTGGTAACAGACCCGAGAGTGTCAAAGCCGAACACCACAAACAGGTCTGACATATCACCATCACCAGAATGGCCGTCCAGTTTGCTTCCGCTCTGAACCTCTGTCCTGGAGCACATCCACTGACTTATTCGTAACAGGTCTCCATGTAGTCAACATACCAATTCCTCGTCGACCAGTTCACTTAGCATTTAATGTTCTAAACGCTAGGTGAATGTTTTGATGCAATAAGTGTCTGTCGGGCATGATATTTCAAGCGAACTGCCGTCTGCACGTCACGTTGCCATACTGTCGACGGCACGAGAAGGGGCTGGGGTGGGATGGGAGTGGTGCTTGCTGGTGTCGAGCCCGATGTGCTGGAGCAAAACGTTAAAGAGCCGGAAGGAAGCTCTACATATGTTTCACAACGTCTTCTGGGTGATTTTGCGGGCCAGGGTTTGTCCATGGGGTTTGAAACTTACGCGAAGTGTATCTGCTGCGGCAAATACCTATCAGAGTGCATTTTGCGACACAATACGCATGCCAGGCTGATGTTGGAGCAATTTCCTATTCAGCTGCAGACTTCAGCCGCCCACCCCCAACTCGGGTTAAGGCCTCCCAACTTTGAAAGAAAAGGTGACTTAATCAGGAAAACGCCAATGTATTGGTGCATCTTTGGGGTAGGGTCCGTAAATGTTTCGCGGTTCAGTCACCTTCCTCCAGGTCACTTTGCGAAAATACGCCGGTGGCAGTGCCCTTCTTGCTCGTGAAGCTACATGAGGCTACAAACAGTGGTTGCAAAGCATGAGGGCCGGACTGGGTTGCGCCGGGCCGCTCACGTTCAAAATTGTCTCACTTCTGGAGTAAACCCACCCAGATTGGTACCTTGTTCGTAGCCGTTAAAGGGAGTTTAAGACCATCTTCCACGAAAGTAGAGATGCAGGCAAATATCAGCTAATGATGTGTGATGAATGGTGTGTACAACTCTAGTCATTAGGCTGGGATTTCTATCTCAATTACATACGTCGTGATCAAACCTCTATAAGCGTTTCAGGCTTAACGACCATTAAAGCACTCAGAAGTGCTGGGGTCCCCCTTTCTCTTTAATTAGACCCGCAAAATTTGCAAACAATCGGGTACAAAAGCCCATACATTCACTTGACTGTGTTATACAACTTACCGAAAACATTCAAGGAATCCATCGCAATTTAAGCATCCGTGGTAGATTCACTGAACTAAGAATGACTGGCGATTTAATTGGCCATTTTGAGATTGCAATGTAGATTATATTCTACACCTTCCTCGCATACACAACAGCAACCTAAGCCGCTGCCATCAGTCATTGGTGCCCATCTTGAGGGCGGCTCTGATCAATGTTATCCTTATCTCATGTTGATCCCGATTATTCTGACCTAAGGCTTTTGTAATGAAAAAATAATACCCACACCAATAAGACGTCATCCAGCACCCATGTATTCTGTTCCAATTGGTAGCCTAGAACAACGTCGCCTGATGTTGAGCGATCTCGTTTGAGCACCACCATAAATGGCTTGTCGTAAGGGAAGGTTAAGCGATTGACGAAATAACAAACAACGTTTTTTACGACATTATGCTAAGTATTTTGCATTAATTGTAACTAAAACACAATCGGCGGACATTATAATTTTAAAGATCCTGTTTGAAAGCCACAGTTATTTCTAATAAGCAAACTCTCGACCATCAGACATTTCAAAAAGAGCAAACAAAGTCTTGTACTCCCCTTAAGTGCCTGGCTCTGATTTATAGTTTATGACAGCACTACGTTGCAACTTTAGTACTCTTAGACAAAAAATGTCGCGCCAAAAAATAATGCATTGTTGAGTTCCCATATTTCACATTTTCGACATCCACATCTTTGAGAACTAGATCGCGCGGCAGGGAGGTATTCTGAAACTGCTGCATTTTTAGATCAGTTGAAAATAGAGTCTGGAGAACACATTGCGTCACATTTCACTTCAATGCGTCCAATGGTGTATAACAGGAATATATTTCGACAAAAAGAACGGCACATCTCTCCCACCAACAAAAGCGATGCAGTAAAGCGGTCAGAATCGGTGCAGTGGGAGAGTGGAGTTAAAATATATAATATAATAGAATATAATAGATCATGACTTCTCAGCTACATATATTGAAGGTTGCCCGTTTCTGAATTCTCTTTGTCTCAGCTGTTTGTAGGAAAACGGACTAGTGGCATAATTAATGGGGTCAAAATATAAATCCGGTAAAATATGCCACCTTTTGCGTTATCCGCCGACGACTCCACGTGCATGACCGCCACATGTCTTCACCACTGTTTAGGGAAAAGGGCCGTTCCCTGCCCATTACTGTTCGGCGCCCCCAACCCGGTGGTCCGGCCTTGTCTATTGGAGGCCTCTTTTCTGCGCGGACCTCGTCAGTCACGCGTGTTTTTATGCCAGTTTTGTGCCGTTTGATTACCCCTGGACGAACGGCAGCGCTGGGATAATTTCCTTTTTCCTTTCGGGCATAACTCTTTTCTCGTCTCAGGTACTACCGTATAACCGGCCCCTGTCAACACAGTGTTCTCAAAGTCACAGTCTGCTAAGCACTGCATGTAAATAGGAGTGAAGATGGGATACCTTGTTATTGTTGCCCGCGCGCTTTAGCAGCGGCCGGTAATGCTTAGGCTGTTCTTTGTGACGGCATTTCTCCTCCGGAACCTTCCACAGAATTCACACAATTCGCACGATGCCTATCTTTGCGCTCTGCATAGATGAGTCCACGACGGGATCATGATTATCCGATCCCTGGCTAGCAGCCCCACGTGCATTATATGCTGCGTTGCCAGTACCGCCACCGTGCTCGCGGTTGTGCTCGGGGTCGTGCTCGTTCTGCCACCGTGTTTGTCGCCGCACCGCCCTTCGGCCTTTGTGCTCACAGCAGCCGACGGTTGACTGACGATTGCGTGCTGCTCGATGTCGGCGCCACGGCTGCAAAGCACAGCGATTCGGAGTGCCCCAGCGGAGATATGTGGTGGAGCGATTCGGAGCGCCCCAGCGGAGATGTGCGGTGGGGAAGATTGCCTCTTCCCTATCGGTGCAACGTTGAAAAGTGTAAAGAAAGAAGGTCAACTGAGTGCCTTTATCCTGCCTACGTCCTCAATGACAGCTTTGGGAATGAAAGTATCACATGAACCATGTGAAGTACTAGTTAAACCTTCAACCAATGCGCTCCTCGATAACTGGCCCAAGCCCGATGGTACAATCACAAACGTTTGTTTTTTATCCGCACCCGTAGAGGTGCGCACGGTGTTGTCATGATCACAGTGGTCGCGAATTCAAGAAAGAAGCGCAGTGCTGTTACGAAGCGTTGACACCGCAATTAAAACTAAAAAAAAAATAATTGAAATCGACATCCCTATCGTTTTCAACTACGCCGCAATTCTACTAACCAGTACATGATGCTACATTAGACGTAACTAGTCCTGAGGTTTCACAAGAATACGTTTTTGCAATATGCCCCAAAGTTGGGATACTCCCCTTAAGCGGCAACCGTGCAGACGTAAAACATTCGCGAACGTGAAGCACGAGCGGCTCATCACCGATGTCATTGTCATCAGTGCTTCATGAAGGGCTGTGCTGGTGGGGCTACATGGCGCCACCTGCCTCTCACCTTGCAGGAAGGGTGGGCATCATGGGGAATCGAACCCCACACGTCTGGTCTCACAGTCAACCCGCTTCCTCACCGACCTACCAATGCTGTCATATGTGTAGTGGCCTTGCACGCATATGCGGCATGACAGCCGATTTCATCTGTCACCATACACAGCCTCAGTCACTCCGTTCAAGTCCTACCAATCGGGTCTCACGGAGGGCGGTCAAGAGGATACGCACGGGCGGCACGGGTGCACCCTAGCGGAGGGCGGCCAAGGGGGTACGCACGGGTGGCACGGGTGCACCCTAGCAACATCGCGGTGAACGATTACGCCCCGTACGAGCGGGCAGTGCGTGGGCCCGGTGGACATACGGTGGCATAACCAGTATTTCGCCCAGGCCGGGGCCAAACCGGGTCATCGGGTCAAAGCCCCTTTGGCTTTGGAAATCGGGTCCCTTTCACCCAAAGGGGTCTTTGTTGCTATCGAAGTCCGGATGTTTTGTTTTGGAGGACTTTTGAGGCTCTATAACTAGTTTCTATGCCTAGGCGGCCGTTTATTTGACGTTTTAGACACCCCTCTGGTGTTATAAGCTGAAAAAGGGTAGTGGGGCCTGAGCGGGAGGAGTAAATGACCCCAAATGCTTCCACCTCGGACACGCTACTGCTTACACTCACTTCAACGTGCCTGTGCCAATCCACGTGCCTGCGAAAACCACGCTGTTCATCCCAACTGACTGTAACCCATGAGGGCACGCAAATCACGCGGGCCCTTCCTGTCATCCCATTGTGGTCAGGATGAACACCCGCTCGCCTCGTAGCACGAACGACAACAGGCTGCAGAACACTAGTTGCGCGCGTATAGCAGGTGCAGGTAATGGCCCACTGAGCTCGGCACCGCAGTTTACCCTCCGAGCCGGCGCCTCCAACGGCGGAGGTTAAGTGCCAGCGGGCCAATCCGTTCACGTGCCAGGGGTCAAGACATACATGGAAGACCCGTGGCCGCCCTCGCGACTGCGAGCTTACTTTCACTTCCGGGCTCTAACCTGACCTTTAACTCTAACGGATTGAGTAACCCCGCTCTAATCATAATTCACTGTTGGTCGCGCGACATGTGCCAAAGTGAACCCATTCTCTTTCAGCGTTAAAAATGCGAGAGCGCAGCACCAGAGGTTGAAAAGCTGCGCTAATGTGTTCACTAATGGGCACAGAGAACGGTGCGTCAGTGCGAGAAAATTACAGAGGCGACGGTGGCTCGATGTCTGACGGCGTCGGGATAATCAGGACCTGACTAGCGGTGATGCATGGACAACTGAGCTCCACATTTAACCGCGAAGACGGGTCCAATGATTCTGGTGGTTAGTGATCATGTGTGCATCACCTTTTTGAGATCGATATCCAAGTGCTGGGATTATTTTTTTAAATTGATGACAGTGGCTGGAGCACTGATCCAATAAAGCACAACAATACGGGCAGCCAGGATACAATACGAAATGACAAATAATAACACCGGCGTAAGGAAATGGTCGGCGGCATCGCGACGAAAAAAACACGCTTCTGGCGCACCAACTGGCGACAAAGAGGGGAGCAGTCCACAGCTCGTGGAAGCGGGGGAGATGGCAGGGGAGCGACGTCGCAGGGTCCCTCACCGAGCAGACCGAGTCGGTAGTTGAGGGTGACGACCACCACGGCACCGAGGCCGGCCAGCACAGACCCGTCGAAGGCGTTGCCGGTGCCGAAGTCGAACGACTCCCCATGGACGTAGACCATTACCGGATAGCGGGCTCCGACTGGATCTCCTGAGAAGCAGAGACGACTCCGGGTAATGGAGACTGATGACGCGCTGTTCCAAGCTCACCGCCTGCGGCGCCAGCCACTCCAACCCGTACAGATTTGCGCTGACTTTGCGAAACTCAGAGTTATGGACTTCTTAAAATTCGGAAAAACCGGCCGAATTTGAAAATCCTCTCGCCCGCACGGAAAGTTTCCCGAAAGACCTCGCTCAAACTCACAACCGCGATAGGAATTTTGTGCTTCATCCGTTGCACATCGTCTGCGGCCATTTGTTTGGGGGCTGCAATGGCGCCGCGTAGTGTTCAAAGGACGCAAATTACGATTTGCATAAACATGGCGGATTTCACACAATCGATGCTGCTTTACGCATGTGCCGAGTGCAGCAAAATAGTTCAGTGCTTCCTGCGCATTGTTGATCATGCAACACTGTACAGCTTTGGACCTGGGGTTCGTCATTTCGTGCGCAACAAAAGGATATTACAAACATCGGTGTCGCAAGTCACAAACATCACGCTAACGTCAAAAGCATTCGATAAGCGAAAGTGCCGCCTTAGTCTCAGACAGACGTGGTCAAACGACGTTGAGTCATGCATATAACGTTGGTGCTCAACAAGTTTTGGACTTGGCATTTTGCATTTGGCATTTTGCATTGAGTGTCGCGTAACTACGTTTGCAATGTGCGCAACCACTTCGTAATTCCGTGGCATAGCTTGAGGTGTAGTTTTCGGAGATACCATTGATGGGGATAGAAAAGTGGTCAGGTTAAAAGCTAAGAGAAAGGGATGCTTCTTGTGTAAGGCCTACCTCTACCATTAGCATCCGATCGTGTAATTCGAAGACAGAGTTTGAATATTTGAATTCACAGCGCGATAACCAACAGAGATATCAGTGCGGATAAACGACTTGGGACAACTCTTAAAGCGAAGTGCACGGGACCACTACATGCTACACGTATGGAACGTGACTTATGTCCAATTCCCTGTTCAGCCTAACCTTGCGTTAATATGCCTCTAAAGCCGCAGAAATTGACTTAAAAAATAATACATTGTAACCTGGAAAATGAGACCTTCTTCGTAAAAGGGACTCCCATGCAAACATCGCGAGGCCCGCTGCCGCGCAACCGGCTTTCGAAACAGGCGCAAGTTATCATATCTGCGCTAAAACATATCAAATAAGCAAAGCTTATGAAAAACATCAATAGCCCGCCTCCATTCTAGCAAATGAACAAAACGCATCATTGTGATTATACACACTTTTGAAATATGGATTTCCTGCCCCTTAAGGAAA